CCCAGGCAGCCTTGGAGCATTGCCTTTGCCTTATCCATCAGCACTGATGCTCTTAAAAATATCAGGGCAGCTTCTCCTCTGCAATCCCTGCATCTCCAGGGGCTCCTCCATCCACACGGGCTGAGATTTTGGCCCCACCACAGGGTGAGTGAGCCCAGGCCATGGTGGTTGGGCCACTGAGGCTGGGAATGGGGATCACAGCGAGGTGGGGTGGGAAGGGGCCTCTGGAGATCACTCAGTCCAACCCCTGCCAGAGCAGGGTCACCAGAGAAGATCACCCAGGAGCACATTTCCAGAAATGCCCATTTATTTAGGGACATTTAGGGAGCTTGTACATCATCCTCTCATCCTTTCCTCATGCTTGGATCTCTCTGCATCCCCATCAGCCTGGTATCTGGACACCAGCACCTCCTCATCGTTAGCATCTATCTGTAATTGGACTAACCCTAAAAAGATAGAGAGAAAACCCTTTGACACTGCTGCAGGATGAAGTGCAGTCAGAAAAAGGAGCTGAAGTCACCCAGCCAAGCAGCTGAGAACGAGCCTGGTTTTACATTAAAGCCAGGCTGCGAATTTCTCATTAAATGTAGCTCACAAAAATTGGCTACTGGATTGCAGCAGCCACTTGCCACGAGATCCCTGACCACAGCTCTGAGACACTGGTGCTTTTACCTGGATTTGCTAGGTTGTCTCCTATTTGTGATTTCCCATTTCCTAACCCCTTTTTGCCTCATTTTCTGTCTTCTCCTCCCTGGCGGAGTGGTCCTGGTGGGAAGGTCCAAGCTCAGCCTGGTCCACCAGCCTGCTGCTAGCTCAGGAGGAGACCATCCACGAGATCCCTGACCACAGCTCTGAGACACTGGTGCTTTTACCTGGATTTGCTAGGTTGTCTCCTATTTGTGATTTCCCATTTCCTAACCCCTTTTTGCCTCATTTTCTGTCTTCTCCTCCCTGGCGGAGTGGTCCTGGTGGGAAGGTCCAAGCTCAGCCTGGTCCACCAGCCTGCTGCTAGCTCAGGAGGAGACCATCGCTGTTCAAACCCCCAGAGGGTGATTAATCTGTTCTCACCACTGTGCCCAGAGATCCAAAAAGCCAATTAAACTGGTGCTGCTGGGCGGAAGGTAATTTCATGATACTTCCTCCAGATGGCCAGATCTTTTCAGGAACATGTGTGTTCCTATCGATGGCAGGGCTGAACAACCGTACGGAGCACGGCGTGAACACCCGCACGGTGCGGCCAGGATGCGGCGTGGCTGTCGCTGCGCCAGTAGGAGGATTAGCAAAGGCTGAGCAGGAGACGATCCGAAGCATTGCTGGGGAAAAGCAGTTGGAGGCCACCTCCTGCAAGGACTGGTTTTTCTCTTCAGTTCACTCATCCGCTTCAAATCAACAGCGTGGTTTGAGTTTAGTGTCAGAGGGATGCACCTTCAGAGAGTCACAGTGTGGTGGGGTGGGAAGGGCCCTCTGGAGCTCCCCCAGTGCAACCCCTGCCAGAGCAGGATCACCAGAGCAGTCACACAGGAACACAGCCAGGGCTTTGGGTGTCTGCACACAAGGAGACTCCACAACCTCTCTGGGCAGCCTGGGCCATGCTCCATAACCCTCACACTCACAAAGTCTGTCCTCATCTTCAGCTTGAACCTCCTGTGCTCCAGCTTGGGACCATTGCCCCTTATCCTGTGGCTGTGCACAACCCAGCAGAGTCTGGTCCCATCCTTCTGACCCCCATCCTTGAGATGCTGATGAGCATTGATGAGATCCCCTCAGTCTCCTCTTCTCCAGCGGAACAGCCCTGGCTCTCTCAGCTTTTCCTCATATAGGAAATGCTGCAGTCCCTCATCATCTCAGTGGCTTTGTGCTGGCCTCTTTCCAGTCGTCCCATCTGCCAGGATGTCTAGGTTTCCTTTGTAAAGCTAATTAACCCTCACAGGGAGCTTGAGGGTTATGACCTTCTAGCAAAACTGAAGGAAAGTGGTAAAGAACTGCGCAACATAGTAAATTTTTAAATTCTCATGACCTTCTGGGGCCAGGCTCCTGGTACCAGCATTGCCCTGATGGCATTGCCTGGAGTAGGAGTGCTCCTTAGGTGGGAGAGAGCACTGGGAAGAGCCATGCGGAGAGGTCACCCAAAAACCTCTGGTTGTGTTTATCAACGTCCCAGCAGGCCCCAGTGCCAGATATGTTGTTGGGTAACAAGGGAGGTCCAGATCAGACCCCATCTGTGTCAGACCCCAGCCACAGTGAGCCCTGTACAAACCAACACCTATAAATGTCCAGCAGAGGAGGCAGACCAGCATGGGAAGAGTTGGACTTTGTGTCCAAAGGGGCTTTCCCTGCCCGGTGTGTGCCTCTGTAAATATCCCTCTCCCTTTGTCCTTGTTGTCACCCAATAATTATTCTTTATTCATATATCTATGTATTATTCCCTCCCCACACATTTCCCACCACCTGATCCCACAGCCTCTCCCTAGGACAGCTCTGAACCCCTCTGTCCTCTGCACAGCACAAAGTCCGGGCACCAAAGGACTTTATTTTATAGCATCCATCCCTCACTAAACCCTCAGATGTCCCCTCTCACACCGACAGGTGACATGTGGGCAGGGTCCTCAAATGCCCATTACCCACAGCGACACCTCTTGATTTATCCCTCTTGCTTTACATTGGGGTCTCGGCCTTCAGCCTGGCTCACCTCCATCCAGGCACTGCAGGGTCGTCAGACTTAAATCCCTTACACCACTCATCCACACGTCAAATGACTCTGTTTAAAGTCGTTTTAACCTTCCAGACTCTTTTTTTTTTGCTCCTTTGAGCTCCCTCTGAGGTGCCCAAATGCTCGGGGAATGGAAGGATCCAGGGCCAGCATCACCATGGAAATGAGTGCCCTTGGGGCAAAGTAAAGAGCGAGGAGGTGAATAAATCAATATATAACAGGCCCTCCCCGTCCCTCACCCACGCCTGGCAATCATTACCAGCACCCAGGCACCTGTGATCTCCAGAAACAAGGCAGAAGGGGGTGAAAGTCAGCAGCTCTGGGGCTACTTTAAAAGCCTCACACCCAGACACTGCGGGGCTTCACCAAAATCCTTGTTGCCAAAATCTTCCCCCCTGCTGCCCCAGGCCAGGCCAGCAGCTCAGGCTGTTGTCAAGGCCATGCCCTCACCTCCAACTCCATCCGTGGAGTAAATAATTAACCTGGAAGGCCTGAAGCCCGTTCAGCATTTCACCTCCTCCTCTTCCTTTCTTTTAAATGCCCCGCCATAATGAAAGTGAAACAGTGCTGAGTGTCCAGGGAAGCAAACAGGCAAAGGTGCTGGACGTCTTGGGCAGGTGGGGACAAGTTTTGGGGTTTTTTCCCCCCCCCCCACTTCCAACCCCTCTTTTCCAGAGGGCAAAGGAGGATGGAGAGCAGTGCCGTGCCTGACAGAAGCCCTTTGGATGTTGCTCTGTTCCTCTGAGGTGGGCAAGGACCTGTGCCCCAAAGAGGTTCCCAGTCACCACTACAGACACGGGGAATTCCTGCAGCACGGAGCGGCTCTGATTTCCGTGGATCACACCAGAACCATCCCAGCTGCAGAGAGGATCGTTGGGTCCCTACCAGGGTGCGTATATCTCCTTTTACCTTCGTCACGGTCCTCCTTGCCCTGTCTCTCTCCACCCTTCACTGCTGCTCTGCCCTGACCACAAACCCCCTATGTGGGGTTTAAGATAGGGACTCAGTCCCTTTCCTCCTGAAATCCCTGGAAAATGGGGTGCTTTCCTCTCCCTTTCACCCTCTGTATGGGCTGGGATGGGGTGAGCTCCTGAGCAAGGCAATGAGATTAAATATTCCCCCTGATCAAGGCAATGAAATTAAAATTCCCCCTAAGCAAGGCAATGAAGTTAAAATTCCCTCTGAGAAGATGGGGCACAGGGGGTGAGCCCCACTGTATGAGGAGCTCAGCAAACCCCCAGACAGGCACAGTCCTGAAATAACCACACATAAGGGAGTAAAAATCCAGCCAAATTCAGATGGAGGAAAGCTGAGATGTATTTCGAGTCCCAGCGTGTCTGTTCACGACAACCATATTTTAATCTCTGGCTCCTGTAAGCTTGACAAACCTGAGACAGGCAGCTCTGGGGTGACCTCAAGCAATAGCTTGATATTAGGAAAAATTTCTTCCCTAAATGGGTTATCAGGCACTGGAAGGGGCTGCCCAGGGCAGTAGTGGTGTCCCCATCCCTGGAGGGGTTTAACAGATGGGGAACCTGTGCTTAGGGACATGGTTTAGTGGTGGACAGGTTATGGTTGGACTCAATGATCTTAAAGGTCTTTTCCAATCAAATGACTTTATGATTCTGTATCAGCATGCCAGGATGGAGTGCTCTGAGGGAGGATGAGTGATGAGGACCTTGACTGTATCGTACAGCATCCCGTGCTGTAACCATGGCGATTTGGAGATTGCTGTGGGTTTGGATGGAAGGGAGTAAAGCAGAGCTCATCTGCCCCATCCCTGGGAACCGCTCGCCCCTGGGCCACCTTCCAGCAAGACCAGGGCTGAAGCAGCAGCAGGACCCAAAGTTGCCACATCCACATCAGAAAGTGTCAACCCCTCAGTGAGACTCAGGAAGTGTTATTCCTGCCTGGCTGGAAATCCACCACAAAGAATAGAAAGTGAAAATACATCATACTATTAACAAACAAAACATTGTGTTGACACAGGTTTCAGCTTCTCTGATGTGTAGTAACTCCTTGGCACTGGAGAAATAGCTGCCACTTGCCTGATTTGAAGGGTTAAATAGAGCTAAAAGCAGGCCAGGACCTAGTGTTTGTGAGCTGGGAGATGGTTTCAGTAGCTATGGGCTGGAACAACATGGTCTGTCCTTGGAGTCAGCACAGGAAAGGCATGGGCCAGGTTATCAGTGATATCCTGTTATGAACCTCTCATTTAATTCTGCTGGTTTGTGCATTTCAGTGATTTCCGCCAACCTGTTTGGAAAACGCGCTGCTGAAAGGCAAGAAGATGAACAGAAATATGGAGTTAGACCCAAGGAGGGTAACCTCAGAACCATCCTCTCCGATCGGTGCAGAGGAGGAGATGGAGGTTGCATCTGAACTGAGCAGCCCAACTTTCCACAGTAGGGATAGCGGGTTCTTTGAAAGAGGCATTAAAACCATGTTAAGCATCCGGAAATCCATACGAAGCCCGAACAAAGAGAAAGGAAAGGAAGGTACTGGCACTTGGAAAGGGATACGATTGTCTCTGCGGTCCTCAAGGAGCTACGAGGAGAGCAAAACCACGATCTGTAATGGCTTGGAGGAGGTTCGCCAGAAGATTGCAGCAGAGACCATTCAAGGAAAACCTCTTTCAGGTAAGAAGCAAAACCACCAGCACGGACTGTAATGACTTTAATCCTGGTTTGAGCACCGTTCTCCACCGTCCCAAGGCAGAGCTACAACAGTGCATGCACCAGGAGATAGATTGAGATGGGTCAACGTGGCTTGACTTTTCCTCAGTCTAAATGTCTAGGAAGAAATTCTGCATAGGATGTCATGGGGCTGGCGTCGTCTCACTGCTATGATGTGAGATAAATAATGTTATTTACTATAACGTGAGATAAATAATGTTATTTACTGCTTCGCACTGACACATTGTGAGGTTGGCAAGCTGGATCTGAGCCCACCCCATAATCTTTGCAAATCTGTTCTCAAAGGGCCATAAACAAGGAGCGATGGGAAATGTTACCACGAGCCCTCTTCGTCAATAAAGAAGCTGAGGAATTGCACGAATAAGGCCCATCCTATGCCCAAAAATTCATTATTGGCCTAGACTAGAGCAGCTCTGTCAGAAACTCATCCCATCCTGAGATAAATATGGCAAGCGATGGAGACTCCACCACGTGCACCATTAAGCTGCATAATGCTTAATTGCCGTTCAATTGTCTTCCTTCAGCTACCAGCTGGCTGATCTCCTATTGCTAAATTAAAGACCCATTTAGCACCCAGTATCACCTCCCCGAATAATTATCCTAGATGGTGATTAAATGGTGTTTTCTCACTTTGATAAACAGAACAGAATGTCTTCCTTTAGTCTCTCACTTGTTCAAACACGGGTTTTACATTAATTTATCAAGAAGAGACTAAATTAATTGGCACAGTCTCCCTCCCCTCTGAGTGCCAAAGCAACTATAGCTCCATATAGGCACTCAAAGCTCTACGTTATATCAATAGTTGGTGTATTTGTGTCTTCATACAGATACTCTTATGCTGCACAGATTATTTGGTGCATATGGTATAAAATCTGTGTGCAGACAAACCCAAGGACATAAATTAAGGGCTTTGAACCAATCCTTCATATCTTTGAGTGCCCTCCAATTTTCCATGTGCACATCCCAGAAGCAGCAGCCACGCATGTCTAAATTATACCCTTCTCCTCTTGAATATTCGCCTTATGCCCGGTATTGCAGTGGGATCTGCTGTTCAGAGCATCTGTTATGATGCTGGAGATGGCAAGAGCTTCTCGAGGCCTCTCAAAAACTCGCAGTGCTCTTGGATCTCCTCAACACGTGGCAAATGCTCCTTATATTACTGGCAAATAGGCAGTGGTTCTTACAAACTCAGTAGCCTTTAGCTACTTTGGGGGTAGCAGTATTTGGTGACTGACTGTGGGTTTATAAACAGGTGGTGAACAGCCAAGTTAACCCAAACTGAACCACCTCGGGCAGGTGAACTTCACATACCTGGCATATTTTGGAGTTTCTCCATTTCCTGCTGCTGGGACCCTGGGAGGTCCATCCCAGAGACCCCCCTGACTCCTAACTCAAAGGGTTATTGCAATAACTACAGAGATGGGAAGCCGTGGCTTCTGCTCCTCCAGAGGTCCCTCTTTTTTGGTTGAGAGTGGGCTGAGGACCACAGGGATACACAGAACATCTCCTAAATGGCTGGAGCAGGTGGGAGGCACCTTTCAGAGGCCGTTTGCCATGGTAGGCACGGGCTGGAAAGGGTGGCAAGCCATGGATGGGACAGTGTTTGGCTTGATACCTCAGTTTCTGTATCTTGAGGAGTCCTTATAATGCAAATCACCAAAAACAACCTCTACAGTGTGCATTAGCATTACCTCAGTCTTCGTTTCAACCCCTTCACTCCTTCTTTCTGCAGTAATGGAAATCAATGAGCTTATTCAGAAAAGGCAACTTTTGGAAGCGTTTGCAAGTGTCAAGTACTTGGAAGACGAGACTATAGCTGAACGAGACGCTGAGAAATACAAAGACAACCCCCAGGAGCTTGTGAGGAAATCCAAGGATGTGGATTTGCTTTATAACTCCATCAGCAACGCCATCCAGTCCATCGTGGTGGGAACGCTGGAGCATCCCACGGTGGAGGATGCCATGCTGACCTCCCTGGTGACTTTAATTGCCCGTGAAGAAGCGGCTCATCCTTACACAGGCAATGCTGGGCCTGGGTCGGACTTGCTTGGCAGACCCAGAAAGTGGAGGGAAGGGTGGAGGGAAGCTATCAACGAGAGTGCTCAAAAGAGGGTCCAGAGGATACCCATGGCATCGAAGGAGGAAGCGAGCTCTTGGCTCGATCTCCACTTGGGTTTGCTCCAGAAACAGCTGAGCGAAGACTTACTGAAAATCAAGTTGTCGGTAAAAAAGTGCTATCCAGAGGAGTACCAAGTGTGTGACACATACGCCGAGGCTGTTCACAAGGCCATTGCCTCGCACTTGGAAGGTATCTCCCAGAGACCACTGGAATTTAATGAGCTCTACACCCTGCTTGACTGGGTGGCCAACACCTACCGCAGGTAAGATGCTGCTTCAGCCTTCTCCAGAGAGTGGTGGGGCCATGGGATCTTCAAATGCCATGGGATCTTCAAATCACTGGGCTATATTCATGTTCCTGAGTGAGCAAAGGAGATACAGTCACTTCTACAGCAGAGCCAGAGACTCTATTAATGAGCAGGGACAAAGGTTTGTGGGTAAAACACCACTTTTCGCAGATCTAAATTGCCTCGTTTTCCCCTCCCTCTCCCGCTTGCTGTTCTCACAAGCTCCTCCTTGCAGCTCTGATAAACCTGCTCTGATAAACTTGGGGTGAAAGAGCTTAGTGAGATATCACAGCCATTCTGGGAGCCGTCTGCAGTCACCTCACTGGTCTGGACTGTTTCCCATTCTAAAAGAGACATGGTTTAGTAGTGGACAGGTTATGGTTGGACTTGATGAGCTTAAAGGTGTTTTCCAACCAAATTATTCTATGAGAAGAATTAATCCCATTTTGGGACCCATTTCAAAACGAGAAATTATCTCACCTAAACCCATTACTGACGCTACAATTCAAACAAATGGGAAAAAAATGAGAAAGAAAGAGAGGAATACGCTCATCAAGCATACATTTGAGCCAGTCCTTTCAGTCACACCGGAGAGCTTGTATTTAAATCCGTGATGTCCTTTTATAGGAGCAGCAGGCTCCTGGGCTGTGCAGTGCTCCACACCGTGGTTGTGGTTGATATTGGGTGGGATGTGACCCCAGACTGGAGCCGGGGAGCTCAGCTAACCC